AGCCATATCCTGGGAGGTCACAGGTCTGTGAAATGTCCCCAAAAGTTGAATCCAAAGAAAAAGAAAATGGCAGTAACTGCCTAGCGCTGAGCACAGGAGGGAGTGGGGGTACATGGGTGTGAGTTCTCTGGGGGTGATGAAAATGTTCAACAACTGGATGGAGATGACAGTCATACAGCACTGTGATGTACTCAATGCCACTGGATTTTATTGTACGCTTTAAAATGCTTCACCTCACATTATGCGAGTTCCATCTGAATGTTTTAAAAAGAAAGAAAGTACTTGTCATAAATTTGCTTAATACAGTTGGTGCCTTGGCACCCACTCTTAAGCCTGACATAAATTAGATGAAACCCACCCACACCTGGCACCTTCAGCCTAGAGAATACTTACCCTCCCCGGGTGGTTCTTTAAAACACAGCTGACTTGCGCCTTGTGTCATGGCTCCAAAACCTGACACAGCCCACAGCAGCAGCAGCTGACCATGCTAAACCCCAAGGGTCAATGCCGGAGTCGCATAAATAATGTCCTCCCTTTCTCCATGAGCCCCTGGAGAGAGCCTAAGGCTGAAGCTATGGCTGCTACTAAAGACCCAGGCCGCAGGGCCCATCCACAGGTGACTCCCTGCCACCTCCACACTGCCCCATCCCTGCCATCACCTCCCGGGGGCCTGGGCCCGATACATTTCTTCTGCTTCTGCATTTCAGTCTCCGCTCCTCACTGTGTCCCCCCAAAACACACACTGCAACCTAACTGCCCCCCTGTCTGGGCTCTTGTAGGGAGCACTTCGCTTGTCTTGGTGGGGCCTCTCTGGACCGGGACAGCTCAAGACCAAGTTAGAAACCCCAGCAATAAAACCAATTCAGCTGTGATGTCACAGGAGTTTCAGGTGGGAATCCAACTTGTGACACTCCAAAGGGGACACTACAATCAGAGGGGCCTGCGTGGTGGTCACTGGGTGCCACTTCACAGAGGTACTTTTGAGGGGAGAGAAGGTTAATGGCACACCCAAAATACCAGCAGTTGTATTGGCCTGTGAAGAATGGAAACATTTGGAGGTGTAGTTTTGCTTCACAGACATCTAACCTTGAGATTGTTATTTCAACAAAAACGTGCTTAAGACCACCACAATTTTAGATTTGGTTGCCCTGTCCTACAAAAATAAACTCCAACAGAAAACTCTAATTCTGACAGGTTATTTTACTTGATACTGGGCTACTCTGTAATACTCTTTACTTCCCTTTACTGGCTCTTCAGCTGTATAAATGCTTATAAGATTTCCTTGGGAAAATGGAAAAGACTGATTTCAATTTGTCTCTTCTCCTGAACTCATATGTAGTTCAGGCTGGCATCAAACTTATGACAGGCCTGCACGTCACACTCAGCTTCTTTTTTTCCTAAAATTACTGAGAATCATGGCTCACCTAAGTGAATCCCTCCCTTCCTTCCTTGCCAGGCTGTCTGAGAGATCCGCGTGAGTTAGCTAAGATTACAGCTGTGGTGCCAGAGCCCCTGAGGATGGCGGGGGGCAGAAGGGTCCTCTTAGGGCTGGGACAGATCCTTTGTCTTAGAAGAAATACAAGTACGCACTGAGAAGTGCGGAACAGGCATCCCCCCGCCGAAGACAGGCATTTCAGGACCCCACATACAATGCCTGATATATGCCCAGCTCAGCTAGGCAAACAGGTGAAGGGACCAGTCCTGACTCCCTGGGAACGGGGCAGGTCTGGGGCAACAGGCCGGGTGCAGCCTCCAAAAGAAGCACAGAGCACTCTTCTCTCCCTTCCATCCTTCCCTTCCCGACTCTACAAGGCCAGTCCCACTTCTGCCCCCCTCCAGGCTAAGGGCAGGTCCCCAGGGGCTTGCCTCACCTGTACCTCTGCTCCTGAAGGGACTCCAGCAACACCGGCAAGTCTGTCAGATACCTGTCCTGGAAGTGCTGGTAGCCCTCCTGCAGATCCAAGCATGAGTTCCTGACCTCCGCCAGCTCCTCCTCTGCCCTGTGCAGCAGAAACACTCGCTGCTGCCTGGGGCTGGAGGGGTTAGTCTCCGGCCCACAGGCTGCAGCAGTACCAGGCCCACTGGGCTGTTCTCTGTCATCCGGACCGCCTTCTGCCTTGAGAGCCAGGCCCTTGTGCCTGCGGCCCTCTAGCTCCAGGAGCTGCTGGTAGCACTGGCGGAGCTGGCACTCCATGTGCCACATGGTAGCCCAGATGCGCTGGTTCACCCTCTCAAAGGCCCTCCAGATGTGCTCGGCCTGGTGACGTGTGGTGTTAGCCACCAGCTTGAAGTAGTTCATAGTGTTCTCATCCCGGCTGGCCCTCTCCACCCTCAGCTGCTCAGACAGGTAGAAGATGCGGTGCCTGATGCCTTCCTGCAAGCTTCGGTTAACAACCCTGTCCGGCAGGCCGGAGTGGCCAGAGTGGCCACTGGGGCCATCCGCGCTGGGTGACGGGAACCTGTGGGAAGGCACATTGGAGGGGAGGCTCTCCCTTGGATCCTTAGCGTACTCTTTCTGCAATGGAAAACAAGAAATCACAAAAGGGTGCTCGGTGAGCCACAGCAGCAGCAGCCTTGGATACAGATGCTCCTGCTCCATGAAACAGGCTGGTGCATGGACAGTGATGGGTGCAGGGGGCCCTCCCCTCCTTTCCAGCACCTGACTTCTCCTTTCACAGGTGATCTCCCCTCTACATTCTATATCATCCTCTGACTTCTCCCCCAAGTCATCTTCCAAGAATAACCAGTTGTGGGTCTTGTAAAGAACAGTTGTGGTGAAGTACAAACACACTCACTCCCATAAAGCCACATGGCTTGAGCATTGCTACTTCCGAGGAGACAGGAGAGGTAGGCAGAGAGTTTGCAACCTAACGGGTTCGCTGGTTCATGCGATCATTTGCTCCACACATGACTTCCTGAGGGCTGACCGTGTGCTACAACCAGGCATATCCTCCACTGTCACAGAACTGACTGTGCTATAGTCATGGAGAGAGAAGATGGTGGCTGAGGACCAGTAGCCTGTCACAGCCTCTCCAGGACCTGGATCCAGACACCCAAAACAACTCAGCAAGAAAAGAGGAAGGTAAGCTCGGAAATCAGGAACGAGCCAACAGGAATACTAGAAATCACAGAGAAACTGGAGAAACGGAGGACAATGCAGAAGGAAGAAGCACTGGCCCCAGCTCCTGGGAGGGGACCTGACTACAGACGCAAGGCGAACTGGAGAGAGACAATAGCCCCTGGGGGAAACCGAGACAGGGCCAGCAGTGGTAGCCCTAAGACAGCTCTTTGCGATGTAAGCTGCAAATACAGCTTGTGGGTTGGCTCTAAAAGAGACACCTTCCATGTGGCAGGCTGCCGTGGAGGAAGAAAGGCAGTGCAGTGCCACTATGCTTGTGACCCATTTGGGGAAGGCGATCAAGACTGAGGTACTCTGGGAATCAGAAATCACAGAACAACTATATACTGCAGGGTCTCTGGGGTCACCCTACCACAGTGACTGGGTGGAAGACAGTCACCAGAGACTGTGGCCTAAGATGTTTAAGAAGTAGCGAGCTCAGGCCAGGAAGGACATGGTGGTCTTGTCCTCCATGGTGAGAAGCCAGGCCGGGTGAGCATTGTTTTTTGTTGGTTTGTTTGTTTGTTTGTTTTTGAGACAGGGTCTCAGTATGCAGTTGATACTGACCTGGAACTCACTATGTAGCTTAGGCTGGTCTCGAACTCACAGCAATCCTCCTGCCTCAGCCTCCCAAGTGCTGGGATTACAAGTGCTACCACGCCTGGCCCGAGCATTGTTTTTTGAGGGGCCAGGCCTGAAAGTGCTGGCCTTACGCCCAGTGGACTGCTTGGCCCCTGCTCCACCACCCCACTGCCTACTTCCAGCACAGAGCTCAGTGGTCTGTTTGCCTTCTCCACCTGCCAACATGATCAGGGACGCACCTCGGCCTGGACGCTTGCCACAGCCTGGGGTGTATAGACAGAGGGGCTGCTGGACAGGAAGGCACCTCATGGGCCCATAGCAGTGACTCCGGTCTCACAGAAAGCCAGGGAAACTGGGCAGACGCCATTGACCGGCCGTGCTCAGCAGGAAAGGTGGGGCAGGACTCAGCGTTCACACACAAAAGAGTGCGTGTGGAGACAACACAGGCCCTACTTGTGACCCACCATCCTTCCCCCATACCTGGTGGACTCCAGTGCCACAGGCTCTGGAAAGAAATACTTGTGACCCCATCCTCCCCCCACATCTGGTGCACTCCAGTGCCACAGGCTCTGGAAAGAAACCTCTCACCCAACACATGGAGGGCTCATTTTTCTTTTTCTTTGTTTTTTGGGGGTGTATATTTCTTCTTTTCCTCTTTGTTTTGGTCTTTTTCTACTTTTCTTATTGTTCTGTTACTTTTATCTAATGCTATTTTCCTTTATTCTTCATTTGAATTCTTTATCTCACTTTTCTCTCCTTTCTCACTTTCCTATCATTTTTTCAAATTTTATTTCTTTGATTTTTCTCTTTTCCCACCTCCTCCACTTTTATTATTATAATTAAGTGGTATTAATTTTTTAGATACTTAGTTGTTAAATGCAGCTCCTGCTGAACTCTTTTCTGTGTTAATGGTGGTACACTTATTATCTTTGGTAGATATTTAGCATATGTCAATATTTGATTTGTCTTTGAGTCTGTATTTTCATTGCAGATCTCTTTTCTATTGCTGATGGCGGCACAGAGGTAACTTTCATTGATTCTTATGCGGATATCTGGTTTGTCTCCGACTCTTATCATTATTGCTGATTGCTTTCTCCAAGGGTGGCATAGCTGTTGCCATCAATTGGTTTTCACTGTATGCTAATATCTTATCTGCCTTTGTGTCACCGTCATTACTGTGGTTTGTTTTCTCTTCTCTATGTGGTGCTGGGGATCAAGTCCCCAGAAGGTAGGTGGACACTAGGAATGCCCTCAAATATTACACTGAGTATGTTGAAGAGGAGTATAAACACCAAAACTTAGCAGAACCCAAGGACACATCACAGGGAGAGAGAACCTAACTGAAGAGATTCCACGGTAGGGATAGAGTCTGCCTTAACTGATCTTCAACTTGCAGCAAGACAAAAATAGATATCTGTGAAAGCAAGGCAACAAGATGCCTGCAAAAACCCTCAGCCTCCCAAAGGGCAAGCTCATGTCCACTGAAGCAGAGGAAGTAACAGGCAAAAACTCAAAAAACAAATGGTCTAAATGTTGGACGGGCTCAAAAAAGAAACACGTATGCAATTTCATAAGATGTTCAGCAAGCTTAAAGAGGACTTTGTTAAATAGATAAAGGACTTTACTAATAAAATGTTCAATGAGCCTAGAGAAGAAACAAATAGTAAACAAATTGAATTAAACAATACAATATATGAATGACCAGTCTGGTAAAGATTAGGAATTATTAATAAAAAGCAAGCAAAATAGAAGATATGAAAAATACAACAGAAAGGATGGCTAACACATTTGACCAATATGAGGACAGTCTCAGAAATTGAAGACAGGGGCCGGGGATTTAGCTCAGTGGTTTTGCCGCTTGCCCTGAAAGCACAAGGGCCTGAGTTTGATCCCTGGTACCAAAAAAAAAAAAAAAAAAAAAAAAAAGGGGGGGGGGGGGGGGGG